TGCTGGTTTCTCTGCCTGGAGCGCCTTCCTCCCCTTGTCTGTCTGGTGAACGCCCACTACCTTGCAAGATTCAGCTCGGTGGCGCCTTCTGTAATCTGGGGTAGACGGACCTCCCCTCTGTTCACCGAAAGCTGCTCTGATTTACTTCTATAGCCTGGAGTCAGCCACCTTGCTGTGAAGGGCCATTTAGAGGCTCTGTCAGCCTCTGCAGGCCATACAGTCTCTAGGGAAGTCACTGGCCATGTGTACATGAATGGGCACAGAGCTACTCCAATAAAACTTTATTTGTAAAAACACAGGGAGGACCAGGTTTGGCTGGTGGGCCATGGTTTGCTGAGTCCTAAGTGAGAATCCTTGCTCATGACCTCAAGGTTTACCCTGAGCTCTGAAGACGGTGAGATGATGAGCAAATGTGAGTGATCATAACCCTTTTCTACCGAATATCTGCTTTGTTCCCTCCCTCGCCGGCCAGAGTCAAGTGACTCCCCAGACTTAATGGGTCACTGAGCTCTCGTCCAGGCAAGGTTAAGGGTAAGCGGCGTCTCCTCAGGGCTGGCTAATTATTACTACACAGGTTTAAAGGAATGTCAGGCAAGTAATTTTCTTACTGAAAATGAGAACAAGAACCATAGGCACTGAGCACGCCCCGACAAGCGGTGTGGGGTCACTTCTAATGGCGCATCCACAGACGACAATTGTTCTGCTGGCCTGTGCCAAGCAGTGCTTGCATCCGTGGGGGCTCTGGGCACCGAGGCGGGTGTTTCTGGGCCACCCACCCCAGGCCTTGTCTTTCCAGCTGACACTGCCTGTGTCAGCTCATTCCGGCTTTGGAAAAATGCATTCCGGGGCCAATAAAGGCTGGACAGTCACACTCTTTTCTCACCCTGTTATTAAAGCCCAAATGGCTTTGCGGGGCCCTAGCGTGGCCAGGCGAGGTCCCAGCTAGCTCAGCAATGGCCCGAATGCCACAGAAGCTGGGTGTCCAATGGGAAAGACGAGGCCTGCGGTTGATCTCTGGTTCCCACCCGATTCGGGTTCTGCGATGCCGAGGCAGTGAGCGAGGCGCAGTAGCAGAACATGGAACCCGCGATTTTACTGAAAGGCACCCGTGTTTGAAACTCTGCAAGGTAGCTTTCCTCTCCCCCACTGGGAACCTGGGCCAGTCACGTCACCGCCCCGAGCCTCAGTTTCCCGTTTGTGAAATGACGACCTGAGACCAGCTGCACAGTGTTGTCGTGAGAATGGCCGCCGGGTGGAAGTGCCCGGGGTGCCCTCCCCACAGGGCAGCGAGTCTGGGAAGCAGGAAAGCCCCCAGGTGGGGCCAAGCCAGGAATCGCTGAGAACTGGCTCCAGAAAACTGGCAGAACCAAACCCAAGCTGGGCTCCCCAGTGCTAATTGGACATTGATCAGCAGAAACAAGAACCAGCCAGAAAAATGAGGAGCATGAGCTCATGGAACCTTCCCACCCCGAGCTTTGCTCACTCTGGGATGGCAACTGGTCCTCCCCAGGCCGGGCCCCAGCTGCCTCGAGGGAGGATGGCAGCGTGGGGGGCACAGGGACAGGGGGAGTGGTGCCTCATTTCAGAGCTTCTGTCTTCATCTCCACCACCTGTTCTCAGGAACGCTGCCTTAGGTTACCAGAGAGGGCAGCCGGGACCGCCCACTGGAGGCCTGGGGAGACGTGTAGAAGTCCCCCAAAGGACAGGAGAGGTGCAGGGAGCGGCCGGACCTCACCTGGGGCCCCAGCTCTTCTGTGACGGAGCTGCAGGCAGGGCCAGACTAGAAGAGTCCTCTGGGCTCTGCACACCCCTTCCAGATAAGGAAACTGAGGTCCAGGGAGAGCCAGGGAGGTGCAAAGCCAGGCAGCAGGGTCGAAGCCAGGCTGGGAGCTGAGCTCAGCGCTCTTCCTACTGACCCGTCCACCTGGAACTCCCTTTAGAAGTGGGGTGGGCACCAGAGGCGGGCAGGAGAGGCGGGGGCCAGGTCGGAACAGAGGGGGCAGGGTGAGGTAAGGAGGCAGATTCTAAAATTCTGAACGAGGTCACAGGAAAAACCTCTCCCCACCACGACGACACCCACATGGGAACAAGGATCCTCCCCCAGCCTCACCCCAGATTGTATTCAGATCACGTGTCCCCACCCAAAAGGAAGGACTAACACTACTTCCCCATGTGCTTTGTGGAAGACGTTGGAATCCTGGTCCTGCTGCTTCCTCTCTGTGTGTCCTTGGCCAGGTCACTTCCCCTCTCTGAGCTCCAGTTTGCCGGCCTGCGAAACTGGAGTGGCGGCAGAAGTGAGGCTCTTGTCAGCCACCCAGCCGCAGGCAAACGGGAGCTCTGACCCCAGGCTTTTATTTCTGTGTAAAGCAGATGGAGGCAGCGAATTCCCCGTGGCTAGCAGGTGTCTCTGCTCCTTACAGAAGGGCTGTGAAACACGCCAAGCACCCCCTGCAGAGCCAGGACCCCCTTTCTGCTTGAACAGCCGCCCTGTCACCTGTCCGGGGAGAGATGAACTCTCTGCGGCTGCAATCTGCTGTAAGTTGCATTCCAGGCCGACTCTCCATTCATTAGCATGTGATCTTGTTTATCCTGCCCTGGCCTGGAATTTGGACTCTTACAAAACCCCAGCTACAAAAGAACAGGTTGGACCAAGACTGCTGAGTGAGTGCAGGAAGTGTCCTGCAGGCTGAGTGTTTATTACACAGACCCAGGCCGGGCCCACCCAGCAGGTCTGAGCCGAAGCCCCGCCGCCCTTCCTGCTGGCGCTGATGTGAGAGTCTGAGGTCTGATCTGACCCCACAGCGGACAGCTCCCAGATTCAGATCATGGTCTGGCCCCACCCCAAAGCCAGGTCTTTCCTCCCGATGACGGCAGCGTCGCCTCTCATTATCTGCTGGTCCCCTTAGGTGGGGCGGGGACGGTCATCCTCACCATCGCTCTAGGAAGGATTTACAGTGCGGAGTGGGGGCGGGGCCTCTGATCCACTGAGTCACCCGGCCAAGGTCTCAGAGCCAGGAGGGTGGAGCAGCCAGGGCGGCTGCTGGCACACTTTGCCGTCTCTTCCTTTCTTAGGGTAACAAACCCAGATGCCGGTCCACCTGGGCTGGGCACAGGCCCAGGCCAGGCCAGTCACACGGCCACATCCTCCTGGCAAAATGAGAGAGGAGCCTGCGACCAAGCAGGGCCAACCTGACACTGTTTTAAGCATTTTGCACTGATAAACACACACACACCTGAATAACCCAATACATAATCTAGGTTACACATGACCTAGACCCCATTTGACAGACGAACAAACGGAGGCACAGAAAAATCAAGTAAGTTGTTCCAGGTCACGCAGTGGGAGGGCTAGGACTCAAACCAAACAGTCTGGCTTGAACCAAAACCCACACTCTCAACCGCTAGGCTAGCCCGAACCTGAGTACATTGGGTGTGAACTTGGGCTACAGGAGAGTCGGCTGTCTTCTTCTCTTTTGTTTTCTGTGAGACCTGCCAGGCCCTCCTCCACTGGGCCTCTGGGTGCCATTCTAAACAACCCAACCCGGCCACTCTGCCTCTCAGAGCTGCTGAATCCCTCTGTCTCCGATGGAATCAAGTCAATGTACTTGTCTTACTATTGGGTCTGCTCTGCCTCCCCTCCATGCTCAACCACACACACACACACACACACACACACACACATACCACCCTTGCAGACAGACCAAACCACCTATAGTTTCTGCAGAATGTTGGCTTTCTTTGTTTCTAGGGCAGCACTGGTGATGCATATAACAGAAGCCACATATGTAATCGAAATTTTCCCCATAGCCACATTTAAAAAGTCAAAAGAGCCCGGCCGTCGTGGCTTAGTGATTACACGTCAACCTATGAACCAGGAGGTCATGGCTTGATTCCCAGTCAGGGCACATGCCTGGGTTGCAAGCTTGATCCCCAGGTGGGGGGCGTGCAGGAGGCAGCCGATCAATGGTGCTCTCTCATCACTGATGTTTCTCTCTCTCTCCCTCTTCCCTTCCTCTCTGAAATCAATAAAAATATATTAAAAACTAAAAAGGCAAAAGAAAGTAGTGGAAACACTTTTAGTAACCTCTTTCATATATTTGAAATATTCACAGTTAAGCTGTAATCAATATAAAATATGCTATGAATGAGTTTCCGAATTTGCGCTCATTTCCGCAATCTGGCATGGAACGTACACTACGGCACAGGTCTCGGCTGGTACTAGGCACGTGATTCTACCGAACCGGATGGTGCGGCTTCAGAGTGAGCCCCCCAGACGCCTCAAAGACACGGGGCAGGTAGGCGATGGTCGTGCCTGTGTGGTGCCCTGGGGCAAAGAGTTGAGTGATGGGGGCTGAAGGCAGGGGGGCCATGTCCACATTGCTGTCACCCCGCCAAACCCCACGAGGGCTGGACCATATGCATATTAGGAAAGGCATCTTGTCTGGGGATTTCAGCCCCATTTGACCTTGAGGTTGGAGTTGCATGCCCTTGTCCTGTGCACAGCCTGTATCCTTGTCCCTGCGGAGGACAGATTTGTGGGCACAGGTATATCCAGCCACGCTTCCACCTTGCCCTTCTTTCGGGACCCTCTCTGACCTGAAGGAACCAGACACACGTCTGTCTGGCCTCCGTCCCACCACCATGTTGTTCAAAGAGCCATCAGGGCAAGAAAGAGTACCTCCCCCGCCCCTGCCCCCCCCTCCCCCGGCTTCCACGCTCTCCAGCTCAGGGCCTCCTGGAAGCCTAATCCACCTCTGTCCTGGGGTGGGCTTCACCCTGCCCTGCCCTCAGGTCACGGTAGACAGACGGCAGCCTGACGACCACCCCCCAACAACCGCCATTGCTAACGGAGGAGCCCAGATATTGTCCTGTGCTACTTTCCCAACCCTTTGAAGGGCTCAGCAGAACAAAGGGTCCCTGTTTACTAGTCACCACCCTCCTGAAAAGGCAGTCAGGGCTGGAGCTGACAATTTTCCCCCGTGCGTACCATCCGTGGTGATTATTCCGATGTTAATTATTCACTCGGGCAGCCACGGAAGAGAGGCGAAAAGCAAACAATGTGATTAAGAAAGACCCTGTGTCATCAGCACGCAAGCCACCTTCTCCCCAGCACGTCCGGAGGCTCGGCACACGTCCGCCTCCTGCCCCGCCCCTGTGGCCTTTCCTGCATTCCTTCCCTTACGCCCGTCCTTGGTGTTCATTTTTATCCAGGCTCCTGCACCAAACAACGCATCAGACACATGGGAACTAACACAGCATTGGGACGCCAGCTTCACCCATTCTGACAAAACACAGAAGTAGGATACTAACCAGGATGTCAACCATTTGACCACACTTGGCAGCTGCGAGAGCTATTCAAGAAAGGCCCCTACCCTTTCACCTGGGACTTGTCACACAGAAATCATTCCTGAAAGGGAGGCTGTCACGTGCATGCGCATTAATAGTCCGACTAGCGCCAAGCAGTAACCGCAAACCCAAATGCCAGGGGGGGTTGGAGGCAAGCACACAGCGCCTCGAAGCAGTGTATTGGGATGCAGCCGCCGCAAAGGACGGGGAGCTTATGCGGCCACATCCAAAGTGCTTGCAATTCGATGCTCGGCGTACAAGGCAGAACACCAGACTGCCCCTCTGAAACCTCCCCCAGACCCCGCGCAGCCCGTGTCAACCAAGTTCCGCTCTTTCCTGCCTGTTTTCCCGGTCCAGCCAGTTCAGGCCTCATCGCTGCCAGAACACAGGCCATGTTGGTGCGCAGCCGCTCACGCCCCCCGCCCTCCGCTGGCCCTAGGTGGCGCTTCGGGTGGACAGGCTCTGTGCTGGATCTGGCTCAGCAACGGCTCACTGAGTGCTCACTGAACGAAAGAATCAGCGACAAGCATCTCGGCTCCTGTTTATTGAGCACCTACTATGTGGCAGGCGCTGTGATTGGCATTTCCTGTGCATTGTTCCACTTCTTTTTCTGAGATAATCGTACACAGTTAACACTATTATCATCCCCTTTGTACAGATGAGAACCTGGAGCTCGGAGAAGGGGTCACCTACCCAAGACCCTGCATCTGGTAAAGACGGGAGATGGGATTTGAATCCAGTTTCTGTTGATTTCAAGATGCGTGCGTGTGCGTGCGTGTGTGTGTGCGTGCACGTGTGTACCTACCTATGACGATATAGATAAGTAGGAAGAAATCAAGGAGGGCTAAAATGGATGCTTGACGTGGCTGATGACGAGTGGGGTGGTGGGTGATTTTTTTCTGTTTTGTGTACCATTTCTTTCCATGTTAGGGTAGGTGGGCTGAAACGGGATGATCCGGCGAAGATTCCACGCCTGCCTGGGGCTGAGCCCAGGTAGCCTGAATATCTTAAAGGGAAGCAAACCATGTCGGCCCATTAACGTCCTTCCTGTTTACCTGCCAGGGCCCAGGGGACATTCCGTTCCAGAGAGATGTCATGTGCAAGACCTGGGCCTGTGACTCGTGCCAGGACCAGAGAGAGTGTGTTGCAATGAGGCGTGCGGCTGACCGAGCCCAGCCCACCCGGGTGCCAGTGTGCTCACCACTCCACACTGCTCTCCCTTTCTTTGCTGGGAGCTGCACAGATGATGTTTCAGGGGGCATCTCATCATAGGGGGCCGGTGCCGGGACACATGGATGACGGGAGAGTATGCTGTGGCCACCGTATCCACGGAAGCCCTAAGATTACAAAGCCGATGTTATCTCTAACCGAGTGGAGTTGCTAGAAGTCGAGAAGATATTCACCACACTGTTTTAAGCTTGCGTCTCATTACTGTACCACTCCGCCTGTGTGTTATGAGTTAATGTTTTAATAAATCCTGTAATTATCTTGTGAATAGCATAATTATATCGCTTTGTAATTTTTTTTCCGTGTTGACAGCATGAATTTGGTAAATGCACATGTTTAAAATATATTTCAATTTTCCTAAATTTTGTTTCAGCATGTCTTCATTTTTAAAAACATATACCCCGAAAAACCTGAAAAATAAATGAAGTGGCTCAGGCTTCATTTATTCCCTGAGAAATCCAGACCCCTGGAGTCTGAGCTTATGTGAGAGAGACAGGCTCGACTCTTGGCACATTTTGGAGTGTGCATTATGCTGCAAATGGAACCTATTCCTCAAAACAAAATAAAATAAATAGGGAAAAAGAAGAAAAGAAGATGAGAAGAAGCAAATTCTAGAGTTTTGAAGGGGCAGCATGAAACTTTCACTTTAAAATGGAGACCTATTTCTGTCATTTTTATGTTTCTTCCTTAAACACCGCTAAATGACAAAGGAATAAAAAAAGGTGTAAGTTTGCAAAGACGACGATAAAAAGAGCTTAGATATGTCAATTTTATGAAAAAGGAAAGTGGATGGGTGAATAGTAACCAATTTTGCCAACTAGAGAAAGTTTAACCTAAGCCTAAGAGAGAGAAGCCGGATAATACCAGAGCATCGTGGGAAATGGAGACACCAGGCATCTGGGAGGTGGGTGAGGAAGAGAGCTGAAA